GGGCACCCGGGCCCCCGCAGGCTCCGGCCCTCCCCGTGAGGCCTGCCCCCCAGCAGCCTCGCGGCTGGCCCTCCACTGAAACCCCCAGGGCGAGCAGGTCTCTGGCTGCCACCCCCAAGCGCCATTGTCCACACAAGCCCAAGTCCTGCAGCCTTTAGGTGAGGAGCGGGGTGCAGAGTGCAAACCAGAGACCTTGCGAGTTTCCTGGTCTGGCTTTGGCAATCCCGTCACTGTTGCTAATGGGAGGGGATGAAAATGTGGTTTCAGAAGGAGAAAGTAGCCGGGGCTGTCGCACACAGGACCGACAGAGCACCGTTTCCACGCAGGGACCTGGCTCAGAAGTGGGTGCTGAATTCAGACACTGTTTAATGTATAAATCTGCAGCCAATGTTTCAGGCGTTCATGACGTAGACCGGATAAATGATGCTTTTACTGAAACTTGGCTCGGTTAGACTCTCCCTCCGAAACAGAAAATAGCAAAGGTGCCATGAGCCCTATATCTAAGGAAGCGGAACGGGATCTGTCTTGCAGATACTTGAGCTACGCGGCGAGAACTGCCTAGTTCCGAGCCGACAAGGAGCGGTCGTGTGAGTGCGCATACACAGGTGTGAGGACAGCAAGGCTGTGACTGTCAGACACAGCCACGCCGGGGATCAGGCCTCAGGGTCTCCTGCCTCTGCTCTGCTCCTCAGGGAGGCTCTCACGCAGGCCTGGAGCCTGTTTCCAAAGCGTTCCAGGCTACCCCACCTGCAACGTCGCGGCTAGTCCTGACCCTCGCACCACCCACGAGAGCCCAGAGCAGGACTCCTCTCTCCAGTGCTGGGTTACCTGATCGGCATGTGAGAGCAGGTCCTCATTCCCTCTCGGAGGTTCCGGATTCTTCTACGGCCGGCTGCTTTGTGTCCTGCAGTCCAAGTGAAACAGCAGGCTCTTCACGTAGCAAGCAAACTCATGGAACTGCGCACCCTGCACAAGTCCACACCTAGGTCACTTCGGACCCAGGGTGGCTCTGGCAATCCTGCACAGGATTTCAGGTGACGAAGGAGAAGGCTGTGGACCGGAGAGGCTTCCGGGGCTCTCTGGGGAGGTGCGGCCCACAAGGCCCGGCAGGTAATTAGCTCTAGTGTCAGAGGGCACAGCCCAAACCCATCAGGGAGAAAGAGCCCCTCAGCTCTGCTCAGCGGTGAAGGTTAGGGCAGGGCTGCACTCAGCACCCACCGGCCTGGGCCCCCAGGACAGGCTCCACTCCAAGATGTTACCGCATCTACAGCTGGAGGTGAGCACAGGCCTTGCTCACGGGCTGCAGGGAGGGCAAAGTGAAGTCATTCAGGTGACGAGCTGAGCAACACAACTCACGCAGGGTGTGTATGCATGCTGCACAAAATCCCGAGGGGAGAGAAGAGGAGAGGGATTGCAGTGTGGCCACCCCCCAGGGGATGATTTCTCACTTCTGTCTCTCTCTCTCTCTGTCTCTCCACCCTATAGCAAGAATCTCTCTCTCTCTCAAAGCAATAACAAAGCTGCCCTCAGGGAACACCCAGGGCACTGAATCCTGAAGCGCTGCTAGAGCCTAGGTCCTCGGGGAGCTCATGCCGTTCACCCCTTCCACGCGCTTGACTCAGCCTCTGCCCTCGGCAACTCCCACCTCGGGCTTACCACTGACAGTGGCCAGTCTAGCCCCGTGGGGACGTCAGGGAGAATCGGGCCAGGGGGAAACCTCCACCCAGGGGCAAGAGCTCAACACAGTTTTTAATGGCTGACCAAATTCGTAAGAGAATTATTTTATTGAGGGAAAGTGCAAAGTTTGCCATCTGGATGTATTGGGCAAATGGAGTGGCAT